TTACGCTCGGTGGGGGGATTGTGAGCCCTATCGGCAATTCGGGAACACAATAAACAAGCATACGATGAGTTTGTACTTGAGTTCCGGTAAGCAGATCTTGATACACATGAAACAACAATTCGCAAAGCGGGAATCACAGAGATTTACGAATAAGCACAGAACTTACACTGTCTACTCAGAAGTAACATCACCAGAAATTGAAAAATAAGTACAATAAAGCACGCCAGCACAGGGAAAAGGGACAACGGAGACGGAGAAAAACAAACGAACAAAGCTAATAGGAGAGCATACTGATGAGGATAAAGTGCATGCGAGCCCAATCACAAACTAATAGAGTAAAAATGTAAATATGAAAACTTACGTGCAAAAATTCGGCCATATCGATCTGACCATTTTTATTTAGATCCATGCTACGCAGAAGATTCTTCAGAGAATCTTTGGTAAGATGTTGACCAGATTCCTGAACAGAAAGAGAGGTGAGTTAGATCGAAAAGAAGTCCCGGATGCAATCAGTCCGATAAAATTTGAGAGAATGAGAATAACTTGAATTAAATTAAAACTTTGAAAACTGAATCCGTAAATGGTTACTGTATCAAGTCTACAGTAATATAATATGAAGTGACTTTTGTTCCAAAAGAGTCAGCTAGACTGCAAGTGTCATTTTTCCAGACTCAGAGTTTGTACTACCTGGAACTCTCTTCCACCTCATTTGGTTTATGCACCAACCATCGGTTCATTCAAGTCACGACTGGATGAAGTATTGAAACACCTCACCTTTCAGTACCCGTGAGTGAATGTCATAATTTGCTATTTAATTGTACTAACAACCGAACCCGGTGTGTACAAATCCTATAGGATTCCATAAACATCAGTCGGTTCAAACCAATTAATATCAATTATCCCACACCGCTACTTACAAGTGACTGTAAGTCAAATGCGAATAATCAGTCGAGCCTTGTACGTTCGTTGGCAAATCAGCCCGTAAACTGCATGGAAGCCCTGATTTGGTGGGACGCCTTCCATTGAAGTTAACAGATTGTCATCTGTCTCCCTTCGTTTCTGTCGGGCCAAATGAAATGACTAACACTGAAGACGACACATGAATAAACATCAATTGACAATTTGGTTAAGCCATGGTATCAGCTGGTTGGCAGTAGTAACGCACACACTTTCCATGCGATAGGTCCGGAGTTCAAATACCGGACGGGACGGTGAGTATGCACTACTGATAAGATCTCAAAAGAGCGAAACTCGAGTCTAATGCTTCCGACTGTATGGGTGACTGGATGAACTGACGGTCACGCTTGAAGGCGAAATCCGACGCACAACCAGTTCAAATCAATCAATATTAATTATCCCACAACGTTACTCACAAGGAACTACAAGTTAAGTGCAAACAACATATTGTGCTGGAATTTATTTTTTGAGCGGAAGCTCTGATGACAGAAAACGATGAGTAAAGCGAAATGTCAATGTTCGCGGTGTTGTAGTTATTCAAAACAAATAGCCTAGTGTTATATTGCTTGTAAACCCCAGACAAATGTGAAAGCCCAACCTAAAGCACGATATAAAGTCACCAAGGTAACAACCGAGAGCGAATACCCGCTGATCCCTGGGTCGGATCGTTCACTACGCTGAGTGATTGGCTTCAGGTGAGGGGAAATGGTGAGCTCGAATGAAATATTAATTCTCATCAAATCTGATCGCTTGGCACTGCACTTGGTTGCCAATGCATTTTGGGTGCTTCAGAAACGGATTCAATGAGGTCCGGCACTCAGAAGCTCGGAGATGAGGTTTGCAGAGGTTTGGAGTGGCGAATCATATAAGACCCCACTAGATCAGGCGTGGTATAGACTCGGGCGACAGAAAAGCTGCCTATCACCAAAGTTGAGTGGCGGGGCTCGAACCTCGGACCACAGGGTTCAAAGCACACCAGTGACGTCGACTAAACTACTGCATCAACAAGTCTTCACTGTACCAGACAAATCACGATAGAACTGTGCAAGAAAAAAAACCCAACCAGTGATTTGTTCGTGAATGCGCTACTGGCAGGTTGCGTAAACCAAACACAAGTGATTTTCCCGGGAAATTAGGACGGTAGTCATAGGCTAGACGAATCTTCATTCACTAAGCAATGAGTTATCACAGTGTGAAAAAACAGCGATTGACTCCTGCAATATGTTTTATACGGTGTCTTGCTGACATGAAACTAACCCAAGAAACATATCTGGGGATAGACAGTTAAGGTGAAAAATTTTACACCGTTGAGTCAGCCTAGAAAACGGCACGGGTCAGTAAGCCAAGTAAGCAGAACTGCGGTGATTTGGGTTCAAATACTAAAAGATGTCGTGGTCATTTATTGATGTCTTGTCTTGTTGAAAAAAAGAACCGAAGCAGTGACACAAAGCTTCAAGAGCTTGACCTAGATAAAATATGCACCATGATTCGTGCCCCTCCAGGTTGATAAACCTACCTGGAGTAATTCGGTTTTGTTGTGTTATATATGTAAACTAGACTGATGAACTGTTTTTGATGGCGATGGGAGATAAGCAGCGGCGCAAATTGAAGAACACATGTGATTTGAACAGGTCTAGTGAGTTTCCTTCGAACGAATACACGCTGTGCCACGGTGAGTTTCACGTAATCTGCAGCTCAATATTGAATCCACTTGTGATGACAAGTCGTAAAGGATGTGCATATCTCGTCCGAGGCAAAGGCTGAAAAACTGATCGTGTTTAGGTGGTAAGTGTTACACAATCACTCGGATACCACATGGCATTTTTCGTTTGCGGGTACATTGTTTTTATTATTGTCATTATTATCATTATTATTACATTGGTACTGTCGGAACAGACGAAACAGGTATTTAGATTTACACGGACAGACGTTCACAATCGGTTGTTTTGGAAAACAATGAACTGATTTGCATAAGTGAAAATAAACGGCAGGCGACAGTCGGTGTCTCTGGTACGCATGATTTACGTTAGATCATACACATACTCCGAACAGGCGACAACCAATTCGTGTGAAACTAAGAAATCTACGCGTTTCGTGACGCGCGCAGAACATGCCCGCCCTTTCAATTCGACAACCCCTCCCCCCCCGGTTTTATTCTGTCATCATAGCTCAACCTCCTCCTCCTATTAAGTGCGCACTTTAGTACAGTTTATCTTTTACGTTAGCCTCAAGATGTCATCCCTTTTGGTATCTCGTTTTCCCGATCTCTTGCACATTGAGGGTCCGAATAACAGCTCACCAGTCCGAGTGCGTAAAGCTTCTGTTGACATGGATTGAAGTAGTTTGCAGTCTTGGCGAAGATGACTCGATTCACTGGCAAAAGTACCACAAATGAATCAGTATATCTTGTATGAATGAACATTAGGTACCTTATACCATTGCAACAATACAGACAGAAGAGATGTCAACTGTTAGTTCGGTTCCCTCAATCGTTGACGACGTGTCACACACACTCTAGGTATACCGGAGAGTCCTATCTGCTTCATGATAAACCGATAGGTATGGATGGGTTGAGTTGAAAATGTGTCACAAGGATTTAAGATATTCATCGCTGACCATAGCGCTCTAGTTACCGAAAAGCATCAGCTGGCAATACCGACATTCTTCCAGCTTATTCCCAATAGCTTACAAATGCCCGCGCTTGTCAAAACTCCACTTAATCGAGAAACATGTGTCCCCCAGATACCCTACAAGAGGAAGAAGAAGAGGAATTCCTAAGGACAGTGAGTTAAACAATGGTTATCTACACAGACATGCACGGTTAACAATCAACCCGAACTCAAGGTCATCCGCATCGGACTGGGTTTCAAAGGTGATCAGGCTTTAAATGATGCGCGCTAAAAGCTGTAACACGCGGTCCAAAGTTGTTGTTTCTACTCAAGTCGATCTGGTGAATCGTTAACATGTTTGACAAACCTGTTCCGTCACACACACACACACACGCCCTTTTCCGTCCTTCAATCAATGCAGTATTACCAATTTGATAGCATCTCTTCAAGTTGCGTGTCCGAGTTGGTATTTCATGGATATGCGGTTCTTTTTATTTATCAGCTTGTATGCGGGTAGACCGCTAAACGTTTATTAAAATGTGGTTGACTGAAACTGACGAGTCAGCTTCAACAGCAGCAGCAGCCGCAAAAAAGCAATTCACGTTAGAGGAAGTGATATAATGTTGTTTGTTGACATATATATATCATAATAAGTAGCATATGATTGACTAGACGAAACCTCCCTGAAAGCATACGACCGGTTTCACGGTCCTTGCCGTTGGTCAGACATGCGTATCTAGTGCTGTTTGTCGCTTTAGTCATATACTCGTACTTAAGAAATGTATTTTCGTCACACTATCCTCATTTGCCACAGCGAGTAAATTTGTTGGGACAGCGCTTTTTAGAACCAGTTCATTTATGAATTATAAGTATGATTCGATGTTTGTAGGTGGATTAGATGCTATTAACCGCAACAAAAGTGGCTTAGGTGTTTTTACTTGATATTTTACAATAGTTAGTATATACATATTAGCAATTTGGTTTAGCTTTGATTGGAACCGGTTGGCGATCAGTTCACATTTCCAAACCCGGACTACTGATGAGCTCTAAGAGCTGTAAAATCAAAAATGGAGTCTAGTGCTTCCAAATACATGGTTGACTGGATGAAAGGAAGATATATATATATATATATGCGATGGTTTTAGCGAACAAGCTCGTTTTCGACAACTTCTTCGGGCTAATACAGTTATACAGGTATTGACCAAACTCGTGCAACATCCTGATTTTTATTACATTTGTTCCTCTCAATGCTTTATTCTTCCAGTCTCATTCACGGGTTTGAATATGATATTGCCCCACATCAGATGCAACATATCTGATATAATATCCACTTGTTTCACTACTTCTATTAGCCACATGCCATTAAATTG